CGCGAACACGTCGTTGCCCTGCAGCGGCAGCCCTTTGCCAGCGCCTGGCCGTGTTGCCATACTCCATTTAGAGGGTTTCAAAACGTGTGCGAAGCACGGCCCATCACGACACAAAACCCGTCTGTGGGCCTTTACCGCTTTGCCGCTGCCTTCCCAAGTCACCGCGAACACGTTGCCCTGCAGCGGCAGCCCTTTGCCAGCGCCTGGCTAGTCGCAATACTCCGTTCAGAGAGTTAGAGGGTGACAAAACCTGCGGGAAGCACGGTCCATCAGGACACAAGACGCCTCTGTGGGCCTTTACCGCTTTGCCCCTGCCTTCCCAGGTCGGTAACCTGCGCGAAGCACGGGCCATCAGGACACAAAACCCCCGTGTGGGCCTTTACCGCTTTGCCACTGCCTTCCCAGGTCACCGCGAACACGTTGCCCTGCAGCAGCAGTCCTTTGCTAGCGCCTGGCCAGTCGCCATACTCCACTCCATTTAGAGGGTTTCAAAACGTGCGCGAAGCACGGCCCATCACGACACAAAACCCGTCTGTGGGCCTTTACCGCTTTGCCGCTGCCTTCCCAAGTCACCGCGAACACGTTGCCCTGCAGCGGCAGCCCTTTGCCAGCGCCTGGCTAGTCGCAATACTCCGTTCAGAGAGTTAGAGGGTGACAAAACCTGCGCGAAGCACGGTCCATCAGGACACAAGACCCCTCTGTGGGCCTTTACCGCTTTGCTGCTGCCTTCCCAAGTCACCGCGAACACGTTGCCCTGCAGCGGCAGCCCTTTGCCAGCGCCTGGCCATGTCGCCATATTCCATTTAGAGGGTTTCAAAACGTGCGCGAAGCACCGCCCATCACGACACAAAAGCCGTCTGTCGGCCTTTACCGCTTTGCCGCTGCCTTCCCAGGTCACCGCACACACGTTGCCCTGCAGCGGCAGCCCTGTGCAAGTGCCTGGCCATGTCGCCATAATCCATGTACCGCCTTGCCACTGCTTCCCCCTGTCACCGCGAACACATTGCCCTGCAGCGGCAGCCCTTTGCCAGCGCTTGGCCATGTCGCCATATCGGCATACTCCACTCCATCCATTTAGAGGCATTTAGAGGGTTTCGCAACCTGCGCGAAGCACGGGCCATCAGGACACAAAACCCCCGTGTGGGCCTTTACCGCTTTGCCACTGCTTTCCCAGGTCACCGCGAACACGTTGCCCTGCAGCAGCAGTCCTTTGCCAGCGCCTGGCCAGTCGCCATACTCCATTTAGAGGGTTTCAAAACGTGCGCGAAGCACGGCCCATCACGACACAAAACCCGTCTGTGGGCCTTTACCGCTTTGCCACTGCTTTCCCAAGTCACCGCAAACACGTTGCCCTGCAGCAGCAGCCCTTTGCCAGCGCCTGGCCATGTCGCCATAATCCATTTAGAGGGTTTCAAAACGTGCGCGAAGCACGGTCCATCAGGAAACAAAACCCCTCTGTGGGCCTTTACCGCTTTGCCACTGCCTTCCCAGGTCACCGCGAACACGTTGCCCTGCAGCAGCAGTCCTTTGCCAGCGCCTGGCCAGTCGCCATACTCCATTTAGAGGGTTTCAAAACGTGCGCGAAGCACGGTCCATCAGGAAACAAAACCCCTCTGTGGGCCTTTACCGCTTTGCCACTGCCTTCCCAGGTCACCGCGAACACGTTGCCCTGCAGCAGCAGTCCTTTGCCAGCGCCTGGCCAGTCGCCATACTCCATTTAGAGGGTTTCAAAACGTGCGCGAAGCACGGCCCATCACGACACAAAACCCGTCTGTGGGCCTTTACCGCTTTGCCGCGAACACGTTGCCCTGCAGCGGCAGCCCTGTGCCAGCACCTGGCAATGTCGCCATACTCCATTTAGAGGGTTTCAAAACGTGCGCGAAGAACGGCCCATCACGACACAAAACCCGTCTGTGGGCCTTTACCGCTTTGCCACTGCCTTCCCAGGTCACCGCACACACGTTGCCCTGCAGCGGCAGCTCTGTGCCAGTGCCTGGCCATGTCGCCATAATCCATTTACCGCCTTGCCACTGCTTCCCCCGGTCACCGCAGCGCCTGGCCATGTCGCCAGAATTCATTTAGAGGGTGTCAAAACCTGCGTGAAGCACGGTCCATCAGGACACAAAACCCCGCTGTGAGCCTTTACCGCTTTGCCACTGCTTTCTCAAGTCACCGCGAACACGTTGCCCTGCAGCGCCAGCCGTTTGCCAGCGCCTTGGCGCTGCCACGTGGCAATAATCCATTTCCTTCTCTCCAGGTTCACTCCATTGCCAGCGCCTTGCCAAGTCACAGACCTGTCTCTATTGGGTTTGGTCT